GCCCCATCATTTATGTGTAAAAGTCACAGTAAGCAAGTGATAGTATTGGAAATCAACCAGGATTTTTTGGACCACTGAATGTTCATGGATAATGTTTGAGGATTTAGGACGCTATTCTGAATAGTAGTTTACAGTCCTTTCTGCCTGGAGTCACAAGCATCCCCTGTGCTTTGGATGCTTCACCAGCCTTTCCTGCAAAAGCATATTAAAATACAGTTGACCCTTGGACAACATGGGTTTGGACTCATTGCTCAGGTCCACTTATATGTGGATTGTTTTTCAACAAATTCATTCTACAGTACTACACCATCTGAGATTGGCTGAATCTGCAGATGCAGAACCATGGATACCGAGGGCCACCTGTAAAGTTACATACGTGGATTTTCACTGCACTGCGGGCAGTGGGGTGGGTGGGGTGGTCGGCACCCTTAACCCATGCATTGTTCAGGTATCAACGGTACAAGTGAAAAGGGCATTTACATATTTGATAATTTACATATTTAAAAAATTCATTTATAAGCATTTGATGCTTTTAAATTTTTGCAGTAATGTAGTCTAAGCTACCATGTCTAGCCCTTACTTTTCATTTAAATTGTTTATACTTTCATCTTGGCTACATGGCCCTGACTTTTGACTTTCATCAGCAAGTGTTTGTTTTATATAGAGTTAATCATTTGCATTCATACAAATGTTTGTGGAGAAAGATGCAAAACTTTCTTGTGATTGGTGATGGACCTTTATTACAGGCTCAGCAAAACAGTCCCTCATCTACGGGATCTGGCAACACAGAGCATTCCTGCAGCTCCCAAAAACAGATCTCCATCCAGCACAGACAGACCCAGGTAGGTCAGTGATTGTTAAACAGAGGAGGAAAAGAAGGGCCGAGGAATAAATACTAATAACTACATATAAAATCTAGGTCCTCCCTTTGTTGTCCCTTTATTTCTCTGACTTCACCTCATTATTTGTGTGTGTCCTATTCAGAACTTGCATTATGAATATTTAGAGTCTTTTGGAAGGTGCTTTTAATTTAACTTTTTGAGGTGTTTGTTTACCTTTCTGGTGTATTGCAGCAGAAATGATTATACTGCAGCATGATGTTAAGGAAAAGACCTCTAGGCCTAGATTCAAACTCTAGCTCTACAACTTATACCTTATCTTTTTGGGCCTTAGTTTTCTTCAGTTCAAATCATCTATAAAACTGTGGTTGATTATCATTATCTTAGTGTATACAAAACGCTTGTTGGGACAGTGCTTATGGTGGGCTTCAGTGAATCTTAATTCCCTACTTTGTGAAAATACTTAATTTTTTCCTTGTACATACTCATTTAGCAAGACCCAGCTAAACTTCTTTTTTTTAGAAATTTTTATTGAAGTATATTTGATTTTATAATATTGTGTTAATTTCAGGTGTACAGCAAAGTAATTCGGTTATACATATATATGTATATGTCTATATTCTTTTTTTCCAATTCTTTTCCATTATAGTTTATTGCAAGTTATTGAATACAGTTCCCTATGCTATACAGTAAATTCTTGTTTTAAACTTCTTTAACATGTGGCACACCAACATAATTTCTCCTTAAACAGTCTTCAGAAACTCCTTAATTTAGGGAATGTTGTGAACGTTCAAAGATAATATCTGAAAAGGATAGTGGATATATCCTCCATCTTGTGGTATTGAGCTAGCCACATATTATACCTGGTTTTCTTGAAGCCTGTTGGCACTGTGTTGCCTTCAAGATAGGATGCTTGGCATTCTGGGAGAATTTCTTAAGATGCAAGAGCTAAACAACCCTCAGGAGCAGATTTTCAATTTTATTTGAATTAAGCTTTTGAATAGTTGAACAGACTTAGATAGTTGAGTGTTCATCTCTCCCTTCTGGTTACTCTTTGTTTCCACTAGGTGGCATGTTTGTTGTTTAGAGATTTGGGTCCTGTCTCCTCTGATGGCCTTTTCTATTCAAAGTTAGTTTCATTTCTACAGTAGTATGTTTCTGTACTGTTCAGTGCACAGCAGTTAGAAAATTCATATATTTGATTCCAGAGCTAATATATTTATTTATTTATTTATTTATTTTTTTTCCTTGCGTTATGCGGGCCTCTCACTGCTGTGGCCTCTCCCATTTGCGGAGCACAGGCTCCGGACGCGCAGGCTCAGCGGCCATGGCTCACGGGCCCAGCCGCTCCGCG